TTTGTTTTTTTTTTTTTTCCTGAACACAAGACAATCACTCAAATGAAAAGAAAACATGACAAACATTTCCCACCACATCCTTCTCAGTCAACAGGCTGAATGGTAATTGGTCATCTGCTACGAAGAAAACACACCTTCTATCCTAAGTCTCCATGATTCTTTTTTCCCGTGATTTTTTTAATGGCAATGCAAAAGTAGACAGATTGTCGACTTCCGACAGTCTGGGGGCACTGGCTTTAATTATCATTTAGCCAAAAAAAGAGGCCATCAAATGAATTACCCACTGATGGATAAGCAATGATACCTGAACCTGTTCTCACTCCCACGGGATGCTGTTACCTTTCCCAAAACGTTTTTCCTCTTACAAGCGCTCCGTCATCCCCCACAAAGAGAAAAACGATTGAGTTTTTAAGATTATAAAAAGGGGAAAAAAATGCCAAGAAGTAGAATTTGAATCACCATCATCTGCCAAATACAGAGCACAATTTAACTGCTTCCTCAATTTAAAATAAAATTCTATAAACCAGAACAGTGTCTACATTGTAGAGATGATTTCTTCGGATGTGAGGAAATGGGTAACTGGTAATCAGGTATTGTTGAGTTAGAATACAGTGGTCTTTAAATGGTTTTGAATTTTGTCTGTCCAAAGGTAGTCGGCCACGACACAAGCCTTCCAAGTTCAAATTCATTCTTTGCAGAAACTTTCTTGCATCTGTTCTTGATGTTTTTAGGGAGAGGGTGAAAGTCCACATCTGGGGAAGAAATAAGTGAGAATTTTTAAGGAGCATGCATCTAAAAGTCTCTCAAGGCATTAAACCATTTTAAAGTAGATTTAAAGCTTTTAAGTGTACTACCCATTAAAATGGAAGTTTCAACATGCAATATGGAAACTGAGCTGCCAACACACATCACACACCTGGGTCGCCATCTACAAAGGTGACCGGCAGGGAAGAGACAGACAAGGGAGAGCAGTTCCCAGTGGCAGAGCTGGAAGGGATGTGGAGGTGAGCGGGGCGGGGGCCCGGGGAGGCCAGCGCCCTGTGTCGCACAGCCAATTGGGGGCCAAGGGGGGATGAGAACCCGGGCGTCCTGACTCCAACCATCCGGAGCTGTGTCCCGCCCCCCCCCAATTCCCGGGCCCCCACAGATCATCTCCGGGCACAGCTCGGGTAAACCAACTCTAATACAAGTGCAAACAATGGGACACCTGATCACCAACAGCAACCATCCCTGAGTACTGAGTGCCAGCTCTGCTCCTCACAGAATTAACTCTGCATTTGGCTTCAATCCTTAATGAACTCTAAAATAAATCCAGCTGAGAGAAAAGAAGTTTAGGAAGAGAAAAAAGAGGCTGGTTTGTAAAACTCAACGATGGTACATTTTGCTAGAACACTCACAAATTAGCCGCCTGCTTAAAAATGCCACAAGGATAGAAACAACTGGGGAGCACTTCCATTTAAATACCTATTTCTGGGGTGCCTGGGTGGCTCAGTCAGTTAGGTATCCGACTTCAGGTTAGGTCATGATCTTGCAGTTGGTGGGTTCGAGCCCCGCGTCGGATTCTGTGTCTCCCTCTCCCTCTGCCCCTCCCCCACTCATGTCTGTCTCTCTCTCCCTCTCTCAAAAATAAATAAACATTAAAAAAATTTAAATACCGATTTCTGTACTGAAGTCTTGATGGGTCTTCTCATCTGAAACTTTTCTGCTGCTGCATCAGACCTACGTTTTCATAGACTCTGGCATTATCTTCTCTCATTCTGTAAAGAAAAAAAAAGCATCAATAAAAAGGCAGACCATGCCCTCCAAGCTTACGTGGCATTTACAAAGCACATCACATACCACATTCTTTGGGGACCAGGTATGGTGCAGACACAGCCCCCAGGAGCTAACATTCTAAGACGGGCTGTAAGCCATAAACATACAGCAACATCAAGCTAGAAGTGAAATAAGAGCCTTGAGTCCCTGTGCTCTCTGGGGCTGGAGGAAAACAAGCCGTCTTCCCCGAGGGCAGAGCAAAGGAGGCTTGTATGATGATGAGGCCTTTAAGTAAGACCTTGAAGCATGGAGACGTGTGCACATAGAAAGGACAGGTATTAAATTCAAGCAGAGGGATCTCTTGGGCAAGAGACCCAAGAAAGGCAGGAGCAGTGTGGTAGGGACTATCCTTCCATTCAGCCCGGATCCAGCTACGAGATGGGGAACAGTAAGGGTGAGGCTCAGTGGTGGTTTTGGGACCTGGGATGAAGGGCCAGCACATCAGAGGCCAGACTCCATCCTGCTGAGCAGGGAATGGAAATCAGAGCAGTCCAAGGGGATGGGGGACCCAGTCGCTGTGGGTGTCAGCCTGGGCAGGACAAGACGAAATGAGCAGAAGGGGCCCAGGGCCCGGGGTATCCTGGGTCTGCGCCCTACAAGGAATACGATGAGAACAGAGAGGCAGAGGACCTGTTGCACAGGAAGGCCAGTGGTAAAGGGATCGTCAGAGTTAACGTGTTCTGCCATTACTCAGGGAAAGCTTTCGGGCAAGGACAGAGCCCTGATGTGCCAGTGCTGCTGCAAATGACTGCAGGTAGCAATTTAAAATATCAGCCTTCCCCATCAGTCCACTGGGGAAGGAAAAAGCAGGCAGAAGGAAGGGGCGACTTGGTGGAGAGAATGCTTTCGCTGTATAATTTCATTTCGATGTTAACTACAAGCCAAATGTAAATACAAGCCTCATATTTGCTATCTAAAACGTTTATACAGAGTATTAAAGTCAGCAGGGGTTTAAAAATCCACATCAGAAGCAAACAGAGAGAAGACTCTTGGGGGAAAATAAAAAGTAAATGTTATACCAGAGACCGACTTCAGAATATACAGAAGAACAATAACTTACAACTGCTGTTCACATAATCGATTTAACAAATGTTTTCCTAACACGTTTTTAGCTTAAACAAGGGGTGGGCACAGTTTTTCTGTAAAGGATCTGAGGGTAAACAATTTCATTTCTGCAGGCCATACTCAGTCTTGGGCATATGATAGTCTTTGCAACGCCTTTTTGTTGTTGTTTTTTAATATAACCTTTTAAAAACCATTCATGAGCTGTGCAAACACAGGCCATGGGCAGAATTTGGCCTGGGGGTTGTAGTTTGCGGACTCCTGGTTTAAAAGCCCAAAGTAGATTTCTGTTGTCTGCAGACTGTGGAAAATTAGCAGAACATGGCAGCCCTGAAACATTAATAGTTTATTCACTTTTACTTAGCAAAGAGTCTCAACGCGTCAAAAGGGGCGTTACTTACCTTTGCTGTCGATCATTAACAACAGGTGTTATCTCCACCCCGTCAAAAGAAAGATTCAATGTTCTCAGAGAACACCACCTGCTACACTTACAGCTTCAAATAGTCATAGGCAGTGTACCAATCAGCTTGCAGTTTGCGTAAATTAAAATTTTGTTTAGAAAGCTGATACACTCGCGAATCGGTTGGGCAACAACAATGTGCACCCATGACAAGCATGTGCTGCAGAGACCTGTTGTTTTTTAAGCTTTTCTGCAGGACTGTATTCAGGCAGAAAGGATTTCCTTCATTCCTACTTACTCTGCGCAGGATGGTGTTGGAGTACAAGGCGGGAGGGGACTCTGATCTCCACTTGTCTGGTCCGTGAGAGAATACTTAATATTTGTATATTCGTGCCCTTTCCTCTTGCTTTTCTGAAAGGTGAAGATTGCATAAATGAGGAACTGGAATGTTTTAAAGGAATAAAGAAGCAAAGGTGGCATTTCACCAGACAGATGGGCAGACAGGCGGAACCCTGCATACTGGTAGGCTGACCAAATGTTAGGGAATTCACCTCCCCGGTGTAAATGCACCATACAAGTGAAAAATACTTTTGAACCTTACAATTCAAAAGCACAGAGTCATGCATTAACAACTCACACTACCAAAACCAACTGTATCTATTTCTGAGCTAAGAGAGAATTCACACTTTCTTTGCCACCTTAACATCTAATCATTTCATAGTTCGCTTGCAACATTTTTAATGATTCTGAGAGAAACAGTCGGCAAAAGAGCTCTAGAAATAAATTCACTACAGGTAAAAACGGCACACAGGTACAAAAGGCAGTAGCTCTCTTAATAGAAACAATCACACGCCTTATCGTACCTTTCCTGCCTCCCACCCCCACCCAGGGAAAGACCCTGGCGCTTTAAAACTTTATTTTGGGTTCCAATGATACTCTTGGAAAAAAAAAAAAAAATTGGCAAAGAAAACCAGTAAAATATAATCTCATCTCAGATGCAGAGCGAACTATATTTGGTAGGAGTCCCAGTTAGATGATTTATCACTCTTCGTTCCTAAATTCACCTAGAAACAACCGATTCTGAAAATCTAACTCACCAAGTTGTCATCATTATATAATGTTGCCTTCGTTCGAGGATTATTCAAGAAAAACAGCAAATATCAGAAAGGGTACCCACATCAAATAGTGACGTACAGCAGTGACTTTCATTTGCCGCCAGTGAGAGGGTAAACTGGGGCACAATTAATCAGAACTGGAAGTACTAATCAGTATCTAGTAATAATAAGAATACATCCCTACAAGGCCGCCTGGGTGGCTCAGTTGGTTAAGCGTCCAACTCTTGGTTTCAGGCCAAGTCATGATCTCACAGTTTCGTGAGTTCGAGCCCCACGTCAGGCTCTGCGCACTCACAGAGCCTGCTTGGGATTCTCCATCTCCCTCTCTCTCTCTCTGCCCCTCCCCTGCTCACACTCTCTCTGTCAATAAATAAACAAACAAACAAACTATATCCTACAATCTTGAACATCTGCTTCTTGGGAAACCCATACACATAAGCCTAAAAGAGCTATACAAGGATGTCCAGTGACATGTTGTTCTTAATAATGTCTACAACAAGAGAACGAATCAACGTGATATACTCATACCATGAAATAATATGCAACAGTGAAGAGGCACAACAGAAAGAAAGACTGTGTGTGTGTGTGTGTGTGTGTGTGTGTGTGTGTGTGTGTCAAAACAGGCTTCATAATCAATGGTAACTGGAAAAACACAAATTATAGAACAATGAAACAGTATGATCTTATGTGATTAAACATTCTAAATATATGAAACAGTGTTATCTATTGTGTATAGACTATTGGTATTTGTATCGTAAAATATAAAAAAAGACTACAAGCCCAGCAATTGCCCTGGGGTTCCGAGGCGTGCACTTGGGGCTGACAGCTGTACCTGCCGCATTTGATTGCTGTTATAAAAGAAAAAACAAAACAAAACTTGGAAGAAATAGGATAAAGCAAAACGGATGATTATAGATATACTACTATTATTTAAAATTTTTGAATAAAACATAAAACAAGTTTAAATCCACTGGTGAAGTGTCTTCTTGCTCTCCTGACTCAGAACTTACACCCAAACAACAGCTAATAAAAAGTAGAAAATCTTATTTGACATACAAGAATTGTTACAACTCCAACCTATAGAGTATAAAGCATCTCATCCCGTGTGAACTTGGGACCAACGTACAAACGAAGCTGGACAGCCTGAAAGATTCACTGACTCTTCACAGAAAAGGCTTGACGTTGGCAGGAAGCTGGCTGCTTGTTGGCCACCACTTCCTCGTGCTGTCTGCAACCGTGTGCAAAAGGAAATGTCCTAAAGGGCAATAGGGTGACAGGATGCAAAGTGCCCGGGCCCTCGGATGACCTCGGATGACCTTGGACGAGCAGAGTTGCCCACTTCCTCCCCAGCTGCCTGCCAACTCGGATTTTTACGTTAGAAGAGAAATCAGCTTCTATCTTATTTAAGCCACTATTACTCAGCCTGTTGAAGCAGCCCAACCAATTTATTAACTGATCAAGCAGCCATTACACATCTTAGAATCTAGGGAAGAAGTTGCAAAAAAGATATCCAAACAGAAAATTTCTCTACATAGTATTTTAATGCTTTGAACAAATGTTTTTAAAAATCTAAAGGCTGGGGCACCTGGGTGCCTCAGCCGGTTGAGAGTCCGACTTTGGCTCAGGTCATGATCTCATGGCTGGTGAGTTCAAGTCCCACATTGGGCTCGCAGAGGTCAGCACAGAGCCCTGCATCAGCTCCTCTGTCCTCCTCTCTCTCTGCCCCTCCCCACCTAGCACTCTCTCTCTCTCAAAAATAAACCTTTAAAAAAAAAAT